CTTAGCGCTACGTCAGTGGTCGACATTGGGGTGGGGGGGGGTTCGGTAGGCAGGGCGCTCGGTTCTGTTGACAGGGCGTGGCGCCCTGCTTGTATAATGGTTGGGGAAACTCTGCAGTTAAACATCAACGTAGAGTATCTGGAAAAGTGCTGCAGAAAACTTTTTCAACCTGCGCCATTCATACGTTTTGTTTTATAACTTGGAATGAGCACCTTCAACGGAATTATCGTAAAACAAAATAAAAAAAGTTGACTTTATTTTCTGTTTGGCAAAGACTTGCATTTCTTTTCCAAACTCGGCTGCCGCGCCATATTTTGTCATATATGTACATAACCTAGACAATTTCATTAGAAGACCGTCGATGGCAAATGAGGGTCTGGACTCGTGTTCCCTGAGCCGCTCAGAAACGACGCAACCCCCTCGAACGAGGACCGAGTTTGGCGTTCAGCCGCAGGAAAACAAGCCAACGTCTTAATAGAGGTTGATCTAAGCAGACAAACTAATATTTGTTTCCCTCAAACTCCATTTAAAGGGACAGGAGCGGTGTGGAAACAGCTGGTTTGCACGTGTCCCAAAGGGGTTAGAGGCATTAAAAACTGAAATCCAAAGCACACACAAAACAGCCATCATCTTAATGAGGGCTTACAGCAGTATTTGGGTTTGCAGGATATTTTGCAAACATCAATAGAAGCCAATCGGAGTGAAACGCAGCAGCCGACATCATTAGCTTCCATAAATGTGGTAAATCTGAGCATGTTTAAGATAACCCGGGTAATTTTCCAGATGTTAAGCTACAAATGAAAGATTTACGGCGGAGAAAGGGAAACCAAGAAATCCACAGGAGCAGATAAATGAACTCAAAACCTTTTTCAAACCCTTTATTGGTATACATGTGAACAAAATATGACAACAAGTTCAGTGCGATTGGTTATTTTGTAAAACACTGATCAATACACAAAGCAGCACTGTTTGGCATGCCATATCAATCCACTGAGCTTTATTTTTTGTCTTTCTGTACCTAATGCAGGACTTTCAAGTACAAGCATTGTTACCATTTTCAAAATTCAGTAGACTGGATTGAATAAGTGCTTACATGCTTGTAAATATAAACATTTCCATCAGTTCCACAATGACCGTTATCATTTTCTCTGGCTCCCTGTAAAAAAAGAAACATACGAGGACAACAAGAGGGATTGGGTTATATTGCATAAGTTCCATGTTTAAATTGCAACTCTTGAGATTTGGTTTCGTCACATGTGCGTTACGGCGTGTTTTGTCTGTACTTTGAAGTTTTTAGATTGGAAAAATCAACTGAAACACCCCCATCGAAAGTTGTACATTTTCACTATAAAGTCCAAAATTTGACCTTGAAATCCAACATGGCTGCCTGAAGAATAATACGTTTGAATAGTTGCAAAACCAGACTTTTTATTTTCTCTTCTGTTGGTTTAGAGCTCCTAAAGTCATACAAAGGGAACGCGTTAATCCCGTTTTTGATAAATCTTGTTATTGACTTGTGTTGCTAACGGTAGTTAGCCTGGAGCAACCATTAGAAAATCCTGACAGTTTTCTGAGTTGCAGCAAGAACAAAGTTAAGTTGGGTGGGATGTAAAATACTTCCGTTTGTTTTTACTTTGTCAGAATGGTGTCAAATACTCGGTAACCTCAGTAACTTTACTGCGCTAGTGTTCCTTAGAGGAAAAACTTACCATATTGAAATCCTATATAAATGCACTCTTCACCCAATGTTTATTATACCATAAAATAATGCTGTGATTTTTTAAATATATATATTTTACCTTATCACCATTAATTTTTATATTAGTCCATTAGGTGATGTTTTGCTTTTGTATTTGAAGAACACCGTACAAATGACTGACACCGGGCTAGAACTTAACCCGGGGTCCATTACTGTGGAGTGCTGGCTCTCATCTCGTCCCAAAAAGTGGTTTTATTTCGGATGTAAAAAGATAAAACTCACTTGTGTTGAGTAAAAAAATGTGCTAAAAGCATATTTTTGTTCATGCAAGCTGAAGAATCGGACACTCCGGGGTTTACTACGGCTAACTCCTACTGGCTTGAACCAAAAAAAAAAACACGGCACCGTTGGCGGATAAATTGAACTGCATCAAAATTTGGACTTAATAATGGGATTTTTTGTAATTTTCATAAAATGTTTTGTAGATCTTTAATAAAAACCTGACTGTGGAGTAAAAAATCCTTTAGATTTGATACTTTAGTTTCAGACTGTGATAGCTCTAAAGAACTGGCTAGTTTTCTGTGGGCTAGCACAATAGCAAAAAAAGTTTTGGGGTATTTTAAACATTTATTAATGCTAAGCTGTTAAATAAAGTGGTTGCTATTTCTCCTAAGGAACACCTTTTGTTTTAAATGTGAAGGACTTTGTAAAGGTTAAGATGAATTTAAAATGTACGGCTAATTGTGCGATGCTTACTAGCGCTGCGGCAAAAAAAATACAATGTATTTAATAAAGTAGTAGTTTTACTAAATGGCATCCTTTGTTGTCTTTTTGAAATGTTTGTTTGTTTATGATCACTAATTCAGAGCACCATTTCAAGGACAAAGTAACTGGTAACGTAAGTTAGCTTGTAAGCTAACCGCTAATTTATTAACATAAGTTTGGATATGTTTTCATGTGATTATGCCTTATTTATCATTTATCATTTTCTGGAGAACTAAATAAAGCTGTGAGGCGCCATAAATCAACAGCAATGTACTCTGGACTCGTACGAACATTATTTGGGTGGGGGGATGAAAAGGCGTCTACAAACATCTGATGTGTCATTTGACGTCTTGGCTAAAATCTGGTCCAAAAGTTCAGTAAACGTCTAAAGGTAAGATTTAAATGTCAAGTATGTGTCTACATTTAGCCAAGGCAATCGGAAATGAATCAACTCTGCCTTAAACTTAAGATTTCTGAATTAAAAGGCCACGTCTCATCTCAATGAGACAACGGCAAAAATAAAACCTCCTTTTGGCTTTTCCCTCTTCAGGGGTCGCCACGGCGAGTCCTCCTCCGTCTCTGTCCTCTGTCCTCACTCCATCTACCTCCATGTCCTCTCCATCAACCTCCATGTCCTTTCTAACTGCATCCATGTATCTCCTCTTTGTCTTTTTCCTGGCAGCTGCATTTCTAACATCCTTCTACCAATATACCCACTGTCCCTCCTCTGGACATGTCCAAACCACTGTCCCTCCTCTGGACATGTCCAAACCATCTCAGTGTGTCCTCCCTAACTTTATCTCCCAGTTGTTCAACCTGTGCTGTACCTCTGATGATCTCATTCCTATTCTTCTCCATCCTTGTCTCTCCTAAGGAGAACCTCAACATCTTCATTTCTGTTACTTCCAGTTCTGTCTCCTGTCTTTTTGTCCACGTCTCTGTCTCCAGATCATACAACATAGCTGGTCTCACTACTGTCTTGTAAACTTTTCCTTTGACCTTTGCTGACACCTTTTTGTCACAAATCACTCCTGAAACTTTTCTCCATCCCTCCATCCTGCCTGGACTCTCTTCTTCACCTCTTCACCACACTCCCCATGTTCCTGGAGAGTGGACCCCAAGTCCTTGAAGTCCTGCACCTTTGTGACCTCTGCTCCTTGTGGCCTCACTGTTCCACCTCCTCCCTCTCATTCACCCACATGGACTCTGTCTTACTACGGCTAATTTTCATTCCTCTTCTTTCAAGTGCATACCGCCACCTCTCCAAGTTCTCTTCCACCTGTTCCCTGTTATCACCACAGATCACAATGTCATCTGCAAACATCATAGTCCACAGAGATTCCTGCCTGACCGCATCGCTCCATCACCAGAGCAAACAAGAAGGGGCTCAGAGCGGATCCTTGATGCACTCCCACCTCCACCTTGAAGCTGTCACTCCTACAGCGCATCTCACCACCGTCCTGCTGTCCTCATACATGTCCTGTACCAGTCTAACATACTTTACTACTCCAGATGTCCTCATGCAGTACTACACCTCCTCAACAGCAAAAACACAACGTATTTTACATTTAGGGCTTTTTGGACAAATAAAGTTCGAGTCATAATCCGTAATAATGCCAAAGGACATCTTGAGATTATCACCCAGCCTGCCCAGTTTTATTATTTCATCCATCCATCCATTTTCTTTACCCGCTTCTTCCATTTTGGGTCACGGGGGTCGCCGGTGCCCATGTCCAGCAGTCACTGTGTGAGGGGCGGGGTACACCCTGGACGGGTCACAAGTCCATCACAGGGACACAAAGAGACAAACAACCATTCACTCTCTCACTCACATCCTAGAAATAAATAAATGTACAAACAGTTTATGTATAAGAACTACGTACTGTTGTCTTTTGTCAGCTCTCAACTCGAGTGGTTCTGCTTCACTGACGTCATAATCCACTTAAATTTGTGTTAAAACGGGTTTTCTGGGATTTTTTTTTGTCCAAACTTGGGTTGTGCCTCGTACGTATTTTATTTTGCTTGTGTGTTGTAAAAATTTAAATATAAAGACTTAAGATATTCGACTTCAGCCATATTCCTTAACGAACTGTCAAATATCGGCGATTTCATTGTAACAAATCCTGAAAATGTATTTTTTTAATTTTGCTGTCGGTACTAAAGAAACCGCACGAGACTTTTAATAACGTTGCTCTACCGTTGACGTATCGCTGTTATTACACGGTGCTTCATAAAAGTTTGTGAACAAACTGTTGTTGAGGCTCGTCGTTATTTTCCTCAGGTGATTTCAGGACCGTAACATTTGTCTCTTTTACGACGGGCCATAAATAACGAGGAACATGGACACCGTAACCTCCGGTTAAACCTAAAATCAGAAATATGAGTTATATACAAAAGGTTTTGATATTAAATTACAGCGGCGTATAGTTGCGGATAAAACCTGTAAACGTGACACGAGTGTGCAAACGGAGAGGAACGTACTTTCAGCTTCTTCTCTTTTTCTTTACCGGACACGGGTTTCAGTCCGAGCGCCGCTTTAGTCGGGGTACAAGATAAAACCGGAGAAGGTGCTGTACTTGTTGTTATTGCCTCCGTGGGCTTTGCCTCCGTCCAGCTTGACATAGACCTCGTCTCCAGAGTCCAAGTGCAGCACGGCGCTGTTGCTGGCGTAGTCGTAGTTCTGGTCCGCATCCTGAGCTATGGCACTGGCCCGAACCTTTAGAAAAAACAACACATGGAACAAGACTACTTGGAATCAACAAAACAAAGACGGGGGGTAGAAAAGTTCACATATACCTGAGAGGCAGCAGCAGTGGGGCGTAAAATTACCGGACTCTAATTTTAAACCTCCCAGAGAAGACTCGGAGGAAATTGGGCTAATAAGAGGATGAGGTTGAATCAAACGCTTCTATCCGTTTGAACCCTCCTGTCACGGCGAGTAATGAATAATTTGAACGTCTGACCTCGGATCGGCTGCTCTGAGAGGAACCTCGTCTAGAAGACAAACAGAGTCGGCAGACGGGTTCGGAGACGAACACGAATATCACCGATGTCACGATGGATTCGTTCAGGGGCTGCACGGTCGACTGTTCGGTTGCGTAACGTATGTTACGACTGCGAGAGAAGCTCATTCAGTCAATTAATAAATTCTGATGATCAGCTTATTTTTTGTGCAAGGTCTAATTTTATCATTTGTTCAGATAAAATTAATCAAAAACGTCGGCTAAAACTGAGCTGAAGAAAAATAATGAATATTTGTCATAATCGACGTCAATGACTAATAATTAATAGACACAAATTTTTAACGAGTTTATTGCTTTTTTCTTTAACATTTCAAGTGAAATGTTTACGACTAGCTAGCGCAAAGAGCATCTTTTAAAGGCGTCTTAACTGGCAGGAGAACATTTATTCACGTTACACCCGTTTTAAAACCTCTCCAGTCCAGTTTAAAACAATTTTGTTTGATTTTACATCTTTAAGAAGTCTTGCCCCTCCTTATCTTCATGAGCTGATATGTGCTTACCTACCTGCCCATTCTCCAAGGCCTGCTAATCAGATGACTGGACCAAAAACTGGGTTTGTTGAACGTTGATTTTTATGGTTCTATTGTTAGATTATTGTTTCTACTCTTTTATCCTTTATTTCTAGTGTTATTGAATTAGTTGTACATTTGTATTTGTTCCATTGAGTATTAGAAATAGAATTGAAATGAATTAAAATAAAAGCTGTTCACCTCCAGACCACAAGCACAAGCTTTTTTTTCCTCACCAGCTCTGACTGAGCAAGTTTCAAACTGTTAAAAATTGTGGTTTGTACTTAAAAACTAGCTAAACACAAAAGGGTGGTTTGTACTTTAACTGGCAATCAATAAAAGGATAGTTTGTACTGTTCAAGGTTTTGACCTTCAGGCTTAGTTCACTACAGTACTGTAAACTAGCTAACGATAAAAGGGTGGTTTGTACTAAACTGGCTTTCAGTAGAAGGGTGACTTGTACTGTAAACTAACAATAAAAGGATGGTTTGTACTTCAAATTAGCTAATGATAAAAGGGTGGTTTGTGCTTTGGCTATCAATAGACGGGTGGTTTGTACTTAAAACTAGCTAACGATAAAAGGATGGTTCGTACTTCAAAACTAGCTAACGATAAAAGGGTGGTTTGTACTGTAAACTGGCTATCAATAAAAGGGTGGCTTGTACTGTAAACTAACAATAAAAGGATGGTTTGTACTTCAAACTAGCTAACGATAAAAGGGTGGTTTGTACTTTGGCTATGGATAGACGGGTGGTTTGTACTTCAAACTAGCTAACAATAAAAGGATAGTTTGTACTTCAAACTAGCTAACGATAAAAGGGTGGTTTATACTAAACTGGCTCTCAGTAGAAGGGTGGCTTGTTCTGTAAACTAACAAAAGGATGGTTTGTACTTAAAACTAGCTAACAATAAAAGGGTGGTTTGTGCTTTGGCTATCAATAGACGGGTGGTTTGTACTTCAAACTAGCTAACGATAAAAGGATGGTTCATACTTCAAACTAGCTAACGATAAAAGGGTGGTTTGTACTGTAAACTGGCTCTCAGTAGAAACTTGGTGTAAACTGGCTAGCAATAAAAGGATGGTTTGTACTTCAAACTAAGTACAGTCAATGTTTTCTCTAGGTTACTTGCCTTAAAGTGTACTCATCTCATCGACAAGCAGGGCACTATGCCTCTATTGCCCATGAGGGGCAGGATTGGTTAGCTTAGTGCTACGTTTGTATTGCTCACAGTTTGGAGTCTGAACTGTGCTACTTATTTCTGCTCCCTGTCCGGAAGTGAACGGGTAAAAAGGTGGTTTGTACTTTAAACTGGCTATCAATAAAATGGTTGTTTGTACTTCAATCTAGCTATCAATTAAAGGATGTTTTGTACTTCACGCTACAATAGCAGGGTGGTTCGTACTTCAAAACAGTTAACAATAAAAGGGTTTTTTGTACTTCAAACAAGCGAACGATAAAATGATTTGTGCTTTAAATTACTTAACACTTATAGGCTGGTTTGTACTTTAAATAAATAAGAAAAGGGTGGTTTGTGCGTTAAAGTGGCTATCAATTAAAATGTGTTTTTTTTTTACTTGAAGCTAGCTATCAAAGGGTGTTTTAAACGTTAAGCTTGTTATAATAGAAGGATGGTTTGTGCTTAAAACTAGCTAACTATAGTGTTTTTGTTACTTTACACTAGCTAACAATAGTAGTGTGGTTTGTACTTTAAAATGGTTAACAATAAAAGGATAGTTTGTATTTTAACCTAACAATAAAAAGGGGGGTTTGTACTTTAAACTAATAACCAATAAAAAAGTGGTTTATACTTGAAACTGGCTATCGGTAAAAGGATGATTTGTACTTCAAACTAATTACTAACAAAAGGGTAATTTGTATTTCAAACAAACGAATGATAAAATTATTTGTGCTTTAAATTACTTAACACTTATAGGCTGGTTTGTACTTTAAATAAATAATAAAAGGGTGGTTTGTGCTTTAAACTGGCTAACTATAGTGTTTTTGTTACTTTACACTAGCTAACAATAGTAGTGTGGTTTGTACTTTAAAATGGTTAACAATAAAAGGATAGTTTGTATTTTAACCTAACAATAAAAAGGTGGGTTTGTACTTCAAACTAATTACCAATAAAAGAGTGGTTTATACTTGAAACTGGCTATCGGTAAAAGGGTGGTTTGCACTTCAAATGAAGGATAAAAGAGTGGTTTGTGCTTTAAACTGGCTATCAATAAAAGGATGATTTGTACTTCAAACTAATTATTAACAAAAGGGTGGTTTGTATTTCAAACAAACGAATGATAAAATTATTTGTGCTTTAAATTACCTAACAATTATAGGGTGGTTTGTACTTTAAATAAATAATAAAAGGGTGGTTTGTGCTTTAAACTGGCTATCAATAAAATTGTGTGTGTGTGTGTGTGGGGGGGGGGTTTACTTCAAGGTAGCTATTAATCAAAGGGTGTTTTTAACTTTAAGCTTGATAACAATATAGTTTTTCACTTCAAACTAGCTAACAATAAACAGATGTTTTTTGGGAAACACCTGAAACATGCAGGACAGTGGCCCTCGAGGGCCAGGATTGGGCACCGCATGTGAAAAGAGCCGCACAGCCGAAAGCTCCATGCAGCTCCATGCTTAAGTTCAACATTTTCTGCTCTGCTGCATTAATGGTGCCGGTGTTTTGCTGAGGTTTGTTTCACTTGACAACTGGTTCCCCAGCGTTGTTGTTGCCCCGTCACTGCCATCATGTTATAGGTTTTAAACTCTAAAAGTAAAAATCATCTTTTATTCCAGTGTGTCCATGTCTAGATCTGACAGGGGAACAAATCTGTGCACAACACCCACATATACAACACAAAAACAATTTAAATGATTAAACTTGTATTTAAATTAAATTGTTTTTCTCAGGTTATTACGTTTTAATTAGTGTTTGCACTACATTTTCCTTAATATTCAGCCTTTTTACCGTTAATTATATAAATAGGAGTTTTATCTAAATCCAATTTAAAATTTAAAAAGTTGTTTTTTTTAAAAGTTAAGTATTTAAAATCAAATGAAGCTTAGATTTAAAAGGGACTCTGCTTTAGCGAAAATAAGACCCAGCTGGGTCGGAACCAGAACCAGACTACCTGTCCGTTCTTGCACAGGTCGGCCCACATGCTGGTCCCGTCCCCCCCGCGCATCAGCACGTGGTAGGTGAAGAAGTAGATCCCGGACACATGGCACGTGAACTTTCCGGAGTTCGGGTCGTAGTGGTTCCCCAGGTTCGTGATGACGTCGTCGAACCTGAGCACCTCGTAGCCCTCGTGCGGGTTCTTCAGACCCACGTAGAACGCGATCCGGATCACGCTGCTCGTGGCGTTGCTTCCGTCCGAGTCGACGTCTCCCGCCGGCGCGCCGGTCAGAGGCGGGAAAGCCGCCTTGCTGTCCGCGCGCTCTCCCGGGGGCCCCCTCGGACCCGGGGGGCCCGGTTCTCCCGGCGGGCCCCTGGGTCCGGGCTTCCCGGGGCGCCCCTGCTCCCCGCGGGTCCCCTGCGCCCTGGCGGGCGGCGGCGCGAGCCCGTTCTGGCTCTGGCTCACCTCCATGGCGGTGCCCCCCGCCGGCTTGGGTCCGTGCGGCTCGCACACCATGCGGCACGTGCCCATCATCTCGTAGTAGTGCGCGGAGGTGTCGGGGGGGCGGAGGAGCAGCAGCGGGACGGCCACGGTGAGAACCAGCAGGAGCATCGCGGCGGCGGTCACCGCGAGCACCACGGACCAGTTCCTCCGCGCCGCGCGGGGACGGAAGGACGCCAGAAACCCCGCGGAGGGAATGATGGGCGCGCGCGAGCACCGGGACAAGTTCACAAAGTGCGCTCAAGTGTCTCGTGCTGCTCTGACCGGCGTCTGGGAGGGAGGGGGCGCGCGCGCAGCTGCAACCAGCTGCGGCCAGAGGTTTAGGGACGAGACCGGAAGTCTGGATTTCAAATTAAAGCCCGACTCAGGCAGCTCTACACTTACTGAACTGTTTCATTAAAACAAAGGCGACGACTTTTATCTTTCACATTTGTGTTTGTGGGGTTTATATTCATATTTTTATATAAATATTTATATTTGCTTTTATTGTCTAAATCACGGTTATTCAACTTGTGGTCCGGGGGCCAAATCAGGCCCACACGTTCAGCCCTAAAGGGTTCATTTAAAAAAAAAAATATATAGATTTAAAACAAACTAACTTACTGACAATTAATTCAACCTTTATTTCTACAGGTCAGTCCCGTTGAGCCTCGAGGACTCGATTACAAGAGAGACCTGATTTTAAAAAAGAGTGATGACGACAATGGACGATCTTAAAAGAGACAGATTTTTTTGTTCAAATTAAAATAAGATGGAAATGTATAAAAACAGGAACATGTCTGCGTTGGGTTTGGCAGGAACTTAACCGCTGTTTAAACTTAAGAGAGGTCAAAGGTCGAGATCTTTTTACGCGGAGTAGGAGAAGGTCCTTTAGTTCAGTCCTCACTGAGGGAACACTGCAGGTAATGATGTCCTGAGAGCGCACGCTGTAGCTGCACTCACACAGAGACATGTAGGAGGAGATGTATGGAGTAATAGCTCAAACGTAAAACGCTAGATGCTATATATATCATGAGGCTAGCTGAAAGTAAATGAACAGCTGAAAGCTAAAAGCAGCAAAAAGGTTAGCTAACAACTCCAAGTACCAAAAGGCTTTCTTTAAAGTAGCAAAATACTGGTTAAAAAGTAAATGACGTTTTTCTTCTTTCGGCTGCTCCCTTCTTCAGGGGCCACCACAGTGATGCATCACACCAGATGTTCTTCCTGACTCCACCACAGCCTCTGTGTGGAGCACAGAGCTGCTATGGGTGCCCAGGGGAGCAGATGGTGGGGGTTAAGGGCCTTGCTCAAGGGCCCAGGGAGCGTTTGGATGTTGGTCCAGGGAGTTGAACCGGCGACTTTCCAATCACAGGCTCGCCTTCTCTAACCTCTTCACCACCGCTCCCCAAAAGCTAAAATAGCTAAGGCTAGCTAAGTGCTAAAAGTAGCAAAAGGCAAGCTAGATGCTAAAGCAGCAAAAAGGTTAGCTAAAAGCTCTTAAGTACCTAAAGGCTATTTAAAATTAACAAAACACAAGATAAAAGCTAAAAATAGCTAAAGATGGCTAAGTGCTAAAACCAAAAAAAAAAAAAAAATAGGGTTAAATGTCCAATACGGAGTTGCCGTGTCCTGGATGACTGAGAATCTTCAGCTTAAGGGCTAAAAACAGACTAGTAGCTAAAATTAGAACATGAGAGCTGAAGGTAGCAGCATAGCAGCTAAAAGTAGCAAAAGGCTATAAGCCTGAAAAATATTAAGAGTAATAAAACTAGCTAAACGTGAAAAGTATCAAAAGGCCACCTAAAAGTTAAAAAAAAAAAAAAAAAATGGCTAAAAGCCCAAAGTGGCTAAGGCTAGCTAAAAGTAACGATTGAGCAGCTAAAATGCAACAAAGTGTGACAGTAGCCGATTTCAGAGAGAACGATGTTTTTACAGGAATTGAAGAGATTTCAGTTTTTTTAGGGGAAATATTTAAAGTTGTGTTTAAAGGTTTTAGGCTGTTCTCCTCCTGAATGAGCCGAATTTTACACAGGAAGAGCTAAATGTTCAACTATAAATGGCCGCGTACCTTCGGCTTCTCTTTGGTCGTCTCAGAGGGGCGGTCCACTCCTGTCCTCGGATACACCCTGCGTCTCCTCCGGCGGGTGATGGTGGTGGTACCGAGGCTTCCTGGTCCAGAGAGGATCTCACTCCATGTTCTGGATCTCCTTTTAGTCCAGTGTGCTGGACCATCCAGATATCCAGCCCCGACCCGGAGGGGACAGTCCACGTTGATGAAGAGACATCTCCTCACCTGAGGTCACCTGGGCGGCTGTGGCTGAGCGGTTCGAGCAGCCGTCCTCCAGTGGGAGAGTTGGGGGTTCGACTCCAGCAGAGTCGAGACACTGAACCCCTCGCTGCCTCTGATGTGTCCCATCCATGTTTGAACGTGATGAAGCTCTGGTTAATCTTTGTAAACATCTGGCAGAGTGCTGCTGTGTGGAGGAAAAGAGGCGCAGATTGTTGTAAAGTGCTTTGAGGGTCTTGAGAAGATGGAAAGGTGCCGCATGTGTCAAGAGACAATACCTCTGGCGCGGTTCTTAGAGACTGCGCCTCACAACTGCCACCAGTTCTGACCAGTATTCTCTGAGCCACCAGTTCCTTCATTATGGGAAACATCCGTAAGTGTGCCGGTGCCTAAAGGTCAAAGGTCATCAGAGTTTAATGATTTGCACTGACATCTGTGGTAACCAAGTCCTTCTGTCTCAAACACGGCATCTTCTAGACCCTCAGAGGGGTGGAGGCTGCTCTGACCGTGCTGCACCTGCTCTGCTGCACCTGCTCTGCTGCACCTGCTCTGCTGCAC